GAGCAAGTACTTGTCATGCTGGTTTGTAAAATCCATGTCAGGGAGGCTTGAAAGAAAGGCAATGAGCATGAGCAATCTAGCATCTCTGTTAGGCCAGAAAACGGCCCCTTCTGCACTAAGAGAGCATCGGGGAAGACAGCCCCTAGCTCTGAGCACAGCAGGGGCAACTACCTCCACTAGGCACTGCACTGAGGTGCTGGACGCAAGCAAATTCATCTCCAGCCCCTGCCTCCCATCCCTAGTGAAAAGCAAATCCAATGCCCCAGAGAAAGTAAAGCCAACACACAGGGAAATCCCCTCCACCTAGGGTGCTCCGAGTAGCATAACTGACTATGCTGCTTCTTCTGTATCCCAAAGGACAACACCCCCTGACAACTTCAAGCTGCAATGAGTAGCCAGAAATGAATGACAGGGGAAAAGAGGGTCATGGAGACCTTTCCAACACTGCCAGTACATTAGTGCCAGGTTAAGGAGAACTCCTTGTGTAAACACAGCCCAAGTAGGCACCAGCCAGCTAAGTAGGGAGGGCCCATGTTGGGATTCAATCCCGGGCAGGCGTCCTGAGCCAGCTCTCCCTCCCAGCCGCCAGAAATCCCTGCCTCCTCTATGTTGTAATGCCAGAGAAGAATGTTTTTAAGACAGCTTTCCCCTGGCACAATAGGCATCTCACTCCACAGCTCCCAGGATCAACCTTAGCCCAAGAAGAGCATGTCCTCAAACCCCTGGGAAGTTCGGTTCTGATGGACAGCTGAGAGTCTGGATACTTGTTCAAACCCCCCGTCTGCAAAACGTGTCTGGGAATCTCAAGCAATGAGTGCTCCTCTCTTTCCCCTCCCTCACAGAAACTCCATGAGAAAGGCAAATCTCCTGGGGAATTCAAGCCCCCATAGACACACAGGCAGGCTTCTGCATCTCCCACTGCACAGCTGGAGTAGGCAGCTGGGCTGATCAGGGATGCATCTCATGTAAGAGGCCTATACTGGAGAGGGGTACTGTCACAGGGAGGAGAAGGAGCAACCCAAGGTCCATCTTCCAAACCCAAGGGTTGTGAGAAAGAATGAAGAGTTTCCTCTCCCACTCTAACTCCTCAGGTTAAAACACAATTCACCCACGTGAAATGCTTTTCCTGGGAGACAACAGAAAAATGACTGAACTTTGAAAGAGCAAGCATACTGCAAAGGTCTCCTTTACCTGATGATCTTGGGAGGGGCAGCGAGGAAAGACTATCTGGAAAATAAAACTGTGTCTGTATTTAAACTTGCAGGTAGAAGTTTTCATCCCACTGCAAGCCATAAGCTGAAAGATTCATGTTTCACCTGCCAGTGTGCAGCCTTCAGCATCGAGTGCTCCCTGAACATCAGGCAGCCTCCCCTCTTCCCTGGCCAGCTTCTTCATCCTCCTCATCCACTGTGCGTGTCTGAAGGAGTGATCAGTACATCATATTCAATCCCAATCCCCTTGGCAAGCCAGCTTTGACTGTCAGAATGCACAGGGGCTTCCAGAGCCTTGGACATTTAAAACCGGTGACTGGAAGAGGCTGGACCTCAAGGCTGCTACCTGCCTCAGGACTTGGCCTCTCCAAGTGCCTCTCAGGCAGTGTGTCCTTGGTAAGAGGGCAGGGGGCTTCTTCATCAGCTCAGATCCTTCCCAGTTGATTTTTGAGAGGTGAGGGGGTTTTTTCTACAAACACCCCACTGGGGCTTCTGCTAAGTCCACACTTCTTTAACAGCTCATGTATTGCCAGTGCATGTAAAAAAATATTCCTGAAGGCACTGAGATATTTCTTGTAAACACTGTATGTGTGCCTCTGGGAAGCAAGCACTGGCGTGTTTCATCTCTTTTCTTAAACACAAAGAAGAGTGTGATTCAAATCTAGCAAGCGAGTGCATAAAAATGGCACCTTCTCATTCAGCAGACCCACTCCCCAGGCATATCTGTAGTCAGAGCAGCTGCTCCAACAGCTAAAGTAGGATTCCCCTGCTCCTTGTTTCCAGGAGCTTTGCAAGAGCCAGCGCAACTCCACAGGAAAGAACTGGAGTTCGTCCCTCCTTGTGCATCATCAACAGAATTGCTTGCTAAGTTCCAGTGATACCTGTGCACTAATGGAGGTCCACGAGATTGCCCAGTTGCCACAGAGTGAAAGGGAAGGCACCGAGTTTGACAAAGGTGCCAACATGCAGAACCCTGATTAATGGTGAGGCTAAGAGGGCTGGGAAAAAAGTCCTTGCTGCATCTGTGGGCCTGGCAGCTAAGAAAATGCGCTGTTCTTCATTTCACTGCCATAAGAGGAGATAAAGCTGCCCAACCAAATACTGTACAGCAAGAGTTTTTCCTCCTTTTAAAACAGTATAATGTACAATGGGAACATGATCCTCACACAGGCAGAGAGGGAGCTGAAGGAGAAAGATGGGGGGCAGGCAAGCAGGGAAAAGAAATAAATACGGACAGGACAGAGTTAAGTGTGCCAGCTGCTGGAGAGTTATCCTTGGGGAGCAGTACACTTTGCAGAGGTCCTTCCCCTCTCCCCTGATGGTTTTCTGTAAAACTGTTATGCACGTGACCTGAGCACACTGGATCTCAAGCCTTTGACGGACAGTAAATGTGGAGTCCCCAGTATCAGCTGCAGGCTCGCTTCCCTGAGCAGAGCCCCACCATCCAAACACAGTGACAATAAACTCCCCCCACAAAAAAACAGCAGTCATGGGGAAGTTCAGATTGCCCCAGCAGCACGGAGGCAGCCATACTGAGTGCACATAATGCCTTCTACTGATCTGTGTCTCCCTCTCTGTATATGTTAGGGCTGATGTGTACATCATAAAATATGCAGAATGTATGACACAGCCAACCTCACAGTGCTGTGTGAGCCCTAAAAATCACAGTCAGAAGCAAAAATGCACTGCTCATTAATAGTGCTTTTCAATTTAAACCAGCACTGGGCAGAGTGGGAGGGATGCTATGGAGTTAATTCCCCCAAGGGCCTGAAGAGGGGCATAAGGAGCATGTGTACAGAAGGGGTAGTCTTGGTGGGAGCAGATCCCATTCCAGAAGCACTCAGGCAGCCTGTGCAGAAGCAGCAAGCATGGCATCCTATACCCAAACAGGCATTTCAGGAAGCCTATGAGGGTGGCATGTCCAAGGTGGGCACTGTTCAGATGGGAGCAGCTGTGGAAGGAGATGCATCTCCTGGATAAACCATGATGGAGCAGCTGATGTCTTACTGAAGGGCAGGAGGGGTGCACCTAGATAGGTAAGGGACATACATGAGAAAGGTGGGTGGGGACAAGGGAAATGATCCTGCCTGGCTTTCAGGAATGGGCATCTCTGCTGTGGGAATCAGTGGCAGCTGATGGGAGGAAGACACACTGGGACACCTGCCTCCTTAAAGCCACTAGTCACCTTCCCCCAAAAACAATGACATCATGTCATTAACAAGCAAGCCAGCCAAAGGCCTGAGGAGAAGACTAGGAAAACCATGAGAGAGGGACCCTCTTTCTATGCCAACAGGGCCCACATCTTCCCACGCTGCTCTCAGCAAAGCCACTGCTGGGAACAGAGAAGGACCTCGGCATAAAGCAGGGAAACAACAGTCCCTTTCTTCCTGGCTCCCGCACTCAGATGAGAGGCAATCATCCCTCTCTGTAAGGCTCCAGGGCTTGGAGCCAGGAGGTGAGGATCCTTCCATGTACCGGGCACCTGGCCACAGAGACCGTTCTGGGTGCCTCCGTGACAGAAAGAGGTCAGCAGGCCAGAGGGAATTTGAGGAACAAGAAAAATGATTAAGGGGCTGTCGGGAGGGATTGATTTATGAGCAGAGATTAGGAACTAAACGTGCACAACTCAGCTAACAGTGTGAGCGCGCAGGGTGGGGGAAGGGGCATCACCGCCTGCCAGTACTTGGCAGGAGAGGGATTACTTAGGATGGTACAAGGGGGTTAAATCCACCAGATGAATGCTGAGCCAAAAGGATCACGTAAGACTGGAGGTCAGGAAAGAGCAAGGATCAATTAGCGAGTGGAACAGTTCCCAACGGCAGCCACCGTGTTTGAGACATTTAACGCTGGGGCTGGACAAAGCCCTAGAGAACAGACAACAGGGATCTACCCAGAAAGGGTGGTCATAGGCAGGGGGAGGAGGGAAGGGGCAGAAGAGCTGCAGTGAGCCAGACTGCTCTGGGTCTGCGGTTCCAGCAGAGGTCCCAGGGAAGCGAGAAGGAAGGTGCCCGCTTTTGACCCAGCTGAGGCAACAATCGCCCAGGGGGGCAAGGGGACAAGGCAGCACCCAGCAAAGTAGCATCAGATGTGCTGCTGGGGGCCAGTCCCCACAGCCACTGCCTTCTGCTTGAGTAATCCAGTTCACTGTTTCCAGGAGCTCCCCCCTCCCAATCATGAGCCACTACTATTACTATAGATCCCTCCGGAGACGGTCTTCCCCTTAGCCTCTTCCCTCCCTGGTGCCCATGAGCCAAGGAAGGCGGTCTGGATCCCCACTCCTCCCAGCCACGGTGGACGGGTGCAGGGGCAGAGACAACGGTTCGAGTCAGATCATCCCTGGGGTGGGCAGGGGTCACCAAGTGCAAAAGTAATGCTACCCATCACACCCCCCACCCCAACCCATTCACACCCAGTTTTCCATGGACCATCCGCAGCAAGCAGCATAAGGTTATCTCCTGCCTCCCTCCGCCACCTGGCAGGCACCGATGTATGGAGAGCAGGACAGGGCAGGCACCCACCAGGGGTCACACCCCATCCCACCCAGCAGGGACCCGCTCCCCAGAGCGCTCCCTACCCCGGCAAAGCCCAGGCGGCAGGGGCAGAGCTGCAGGCAGCAGAAAGCCAAGCTCCGAGAGAGAGATAGGCGGTGGGGGGAAGAAAGAAGTGCTTGCCCCTGCACCATCCCTGCCGCAGCCAAGCCCGGCCCCGGCTTCCAGGGGCGCCGCGCTGCCCGCCCCGCTCGCCCCGGGCGTCTGACAGGCGAGGACCCGCTTCCCGCCGCACTGGTACCTGGCTCGGGCTCCCGCTGAGGACGGGCTCCCCCTGCAAGACCCCGGGCAGCCTCCCGGGGCCGCTCCCGCTCACCCCGCCGCCGGGCAGCGGCAAAGTTGGACAAAGCGCA